TCCTAAAGGAGAGTTAAACTTTTACCAAAGTAATTTTTTGGTAAGATACTTGTACTTTTACTTAAGTATTACTTTGTGGTACGACATGTTTTAAATAATTCAGGTTGTTTCCTTCATTTGGAGTATCGGGAATTATGTTTACTCAACTAAAAATACYGAAGCGAAAACCCAATTTTGTGAGCCCTGTGCGTTATGCCGGCACGTGTTGGCTGGTTACTGAGCACAATGTTTCTCAGAAAACAAAGCGGGTTACCAGGACACTCACGTTTTATTTGTGTCTGTGTGGGCACTATCATGTGACATTTTGAGATGACCCTTTCATCTCCCCCACTCCGTCCCCTCATTGGCACTGGCATAGAAAAGACGGCAAGTTAAAAAAAAGAGTGCTACTCAAGATAAAGATGAATAAGAACGAATCAAGAGGAAGAAATTACTTTTTAGGAGGAAGGGGAGAATTACTCATAGGACTGAGATGAAAGATGTAGACACATGAGGACAACAAACACACATTATATGATGTGTTTTAAAAGTCTTGCTACTGAAGGGAGTTTCACAAGTTCTGTCTATATAGAAAGAAACCAAAACTTTGAAGAAATTTTAAAATTCGAGCAGCTTAATGGTTTAGTAGTGGTGTAATTTGGCCAGCAGGTGGCAGCATGCTCACTTTTGAAGACACTTGCTGTAACTAAGTCACAAAATTCCCTTTTTGTTTTTAGTGTCAGAGGAAATGTTTTTGTCTTCTATTCAACAGAAAAACTAAATGCTTTTAAATGAAATAAAAACAGCTTTGAACTGGGATTAAAATACCCGTTTTCTGTYTTTAACTATACCAAACAAATACACACAGGGCCTTTTGAAATCAATGAGAAGTATAAATATCTAAAATAAGAGTACAGTGTACAGAAAAAGATGTAAAGATGTCTATATGTGAATGAGACATGAGATTATCAGGATCTAAAATGATAAAATGATACAGAGCAGGGATGAGCAACTGGTGGCCCACGGGCCACATGACTTTGGTCAGACCTGCCAATGAGGCCCCACCACTCCCACCCAAAAAAATATTTTTTACATAAACAAAGCACTCAAAGCAGCCCTTACAATAAGAAGAG